ATGGTACCTTCAGAAGCAAGTAACTGAGTGAAATCATTAGAGGTGTATTCACCCCCTAAGTCACACCTGAAGCTCTTAATCACAACCGAATGTTGAGTTTTAACAAGAGCTCTAAAATTGTTGTAAATATTAAAGAAATCAGATATCTGTTTCATAAGATAAACCCATGTATATGGAGTATAATCATTTATAAAAGATACATAATAGGTTGACCCACCCTTTTTGGATACTGGGGAAGGACCCCACACATCAGAATGAATAATATCAAAAGGAGCAGTAGAACAAGACATACTTTTATTGAAGGGTAAAGCAGAAAATTTTGCTAGTTTGCAACCACTACAATCAGAAATATCATAAGAGTTTAAATGATCCAAAACACCACTAGATGCTAAGAAATTCAAACGTCATACAGACACATGTCCCAAACAAGAATGCCAAAGATAAAACTCAGACAACAAAGGACTCAAACGAAAAGAAGATAAATCAATGTTGGAAGCAGCAACAACAGATACTTTAAGGACCTCCCAAACATATAGTTCCCCCACCCTACAGCCGATCCCAATCACCTTATAGGTGTGTTGATCCTGTATAACACAAATAGAATTAGAAAAGAACACCCAATTACCAGACTTGCATAACTGACTAACTGAAGCAAGGTTCAAAGTAAGTTTGGGAATGTAATAAACATCAGGAAGACTAATATGAGAAAAAAGATAGACCCAACACCCTCAACTAGCATAGATGTATCACTAGCAGACTTAACATAAATAGATGACTCTTGCGACAAAGAAGTAAATGATGACAAATGAGGAGTCATATGATGGGTTACACCAGAATCTAAAATCCACAAAGATGAGGGAATACCTAAAGTACCAGATGAAGAAGGACCAGAATGAGACATAGATGCAGACATGGCAGTGGGATTAGAAGCCAAATACTGTCTAAAGCTATCAAACACCTTGGGATCCAATGCAGATGGTGGCATATGTCCAACAGAATCTGTGTCAACTGGTGGAACAGCAGCATCAACAAACGGTGGAGGAAAAGGGGTCCATGGAGGAGTACTAGAGGAGCGCGACTGAAACTTCTGTTGACTAGACCTATTTTTTTTGCCCTGACTGAGGTTGACCAGATTTAACATTTTTTGACTAACAATGGACATTGAGCTTTCCAATGATTCTTCTGTTTGCAGAATGCACACTCATCATAAGTGACTCTTGAAGTTTGTCGAGACTGCCTAGAGGAGACAACAAGCACAATAGGAGAGAGAGTAGGAATAGAGGTTGCTTTAAACCCTTTATCTGCATGAGACTTGATACGAGTCTCTTCTGCAATTAAATCATGGACAACTGAATCAACTGAAGGAAGAGGAGAGCGATGAAGAATTGTTCCACGAAGACCTTCAAAATCAAAACGCAAGGCCATTAAGAACTGAACCAAGTGGTATTCTTCCCTCCTAGCAATGTAAGGCTCAAAATCTTTTAACTCTTTAGATTCAGTAAGAGCCAATTGATCCCAAAGATCATACATAGCAGCATAGAAATCTTGAATGCTCTGGTCATTATGTTGAAGGGCACGAATATCATATTCCAACTGGTATTGTTTAGCAAAATTTGATTGAGTATATAGTCTCTCCAAGTGATTCCAAACTTCCTTTGCTATGTCATATTTAGCCAACTGCGTACCAATGGACTGAGTAACAGAGTTATTGATCCAAGTAATAACCTTGGAGTTATCAGTCTCCCAAGCATCAAGCAACATATTAAAATTCTCTGTTTGAGGCACTAAGGATTTGGCTTTAGTCCCAGTGACATAGCCCCAAATATTCTTCCTACGAAGGAAGTTCTTCATAACGTAACTCCAATACGTATAATTCTTTCCATCCAAACGAGTATTGATTTACTGAAGGGAATCATCCTTTCCAGTCATGTTGATAGTGAATGAATAACCACAATAACAATATAACAATCTGAGAATGAAAGGAGTAACAAACCAGCGGAAGCAATCACTTAAATAACGAATCAACAACAAATACGAACCAATAGCAGCAACGAACCAACAGCAGCAATGAATTAATAGTAACAATGAATCAACACATCAAAAAACGAATACCAGTGACAATAAACGAAAACGACATGCTACAGTGACCCTAGAAAATTTCGATCTGCGCCACAGATGACTGCTACAAAGACTTCTAACAACGTATCGAACCTCTGCTCTGATAGCATGATAACATTGTCATATGATTATAACAAAGAGAAATTACAAGGGTTCTCAAAGAAAAGCATAAAGACTACAAAGAATAAAGTGGATATAAATACTAGCTAGACAGAAACTCTAATGGGCTAAAGACAAAAGGGCCCATAAACAAGCGGGCTAATAATATATAGAATAACAATGATGAACATAAACAACAAGTTCAATAGTATATTGAGTATAAAAAATGGAAAGTGACCAAATAAGAACAAACTCAACAGTTAGTTACCCTCCATAATCATTTTCCCCGAAAAGTTAGAAGAAATTAAAGTTGCAAAATTAACAAAGACCGCAACCTTCTTTGGCCTTAACATATATGAAAAGCGTTTTGGAGGGGTAACTTCGTTAAAACATGGTCTATGCTATGCTTACTGTAGTTAACTGTCAACACCTTTCTGCAAAAGGATATGACTGTGTATGAGAGGTATATTTATCAGCATAAACGTTTACCTCAAGGTATATTATGGTGATATGTTTGCAAAAGCTGCATGATATTGTATATATTGATGTTGTATATTATCCCATGAATTTGATCTTAAAGCTAAGTAAACTCAAAAATCACAGCACTTGTGATTATACTCGTTTATAGACTTGTCTAGAATCCATGATATGATAAATAATTTGATTGGAAATGTAAATGTAGTCATGAAATGCACCTGCTTAGTCAAGATTCCCCTAATAAAAATTCAAGTGCATTGCAAAGTAGTACATGTATGAATAATGTTCTTTCGTGGGTTATGTTTTGAAGAGAAGCAAGAATAAATATCATAAAGTCATTAATATCGGCATGAGATGACATGTGATTTGTTGTAAATGATTAAAAGCAAAATGAATCAGGAGGATAACCAACAGTTGCATTTGTTCTCATTTGGTCCTTTTTTTTACTTAATAAACCATCGAATTTGTTATTTGTGTTCACCATAAACCTTTGACTAACTATCACATGTCAAAAACCAGTCAAAAGGGTTATGATAAACACAAACAATGAGTTCGATTGTATATTGAGTACAAAAAAAAACAAAACAAAACAAATGAGAATAAATGTAACTAGGCATGAGCAAACGGACCGAACCGGCCAGACCCGGACCCGAATCCGAACCGGGAACAGGCTTCGGCCAAAATCAAATATTGAACCGCCCGGCGGTTCTATCGGTTCTGGTTCTACCAGGTCAGGTTTTTGCCGGGTTTTCGATTTTGGAACCGGTCTAATTTGACACGCTTTCTTACGGGGCTTGTAACTCATTCAATTTTTAACCAAATCAAACGTTTTTGTAGTCTAAACTTAACTACAAATCATAATCTACATGTAGGAAGAAGATTCAGGTCAAAACATGTTGAATTGAGTGAGTTATGCATATTTGAACAACAAAGTCAAATTACATTTAATTGCTGAAACATAAAAAAAAATCCGATTTGAAACCCTTCCTTGCGGGGCTTGTAACTCATTCAATTTTTAACCAAATCAAGCGTTTTTATAGTCAAATTTAACTACAAAACCTAAACTACGTGTAGGAAAAAGATTCAGAAAATAAAAAATTGAATTGAGTGATTTATGCACATTTGAACAACAAAGTCAGATTACATTTAGTTGTTGTAACATAAAAAAATTCTGATTTGACACTCTTCCTTGCGGGGCTTGTAACTCATTCAATTTTTAACCAAATCAAGCATTTTTATAGTCTAAACTTAACTACAAGTCCTAATCGACATGTAGGAAAAAGATTCAGGTCAAAAAAAGTTAAATTGAGTGAGTTATTATATTTGAACAACAAAGTCAGATTACATTTAATTGTTGGAACATAAAAAAAAATTCTAATTTGACACCGTTCCTTATGGGGCTTGTAACGTATTGAATTTTTAACCAAATCAAGCGTTTTTATAGTTTAAACTTAACTAAAAATCCTAATCTATATGTAGGAAAAAGATTTAGATCAAAACAAGTTAAATTGAGTGAGTTATGTACATTTGAACAACAAAGTTACATTATATTTAATTTCTGAAATATAAAAAAAAAAAAAAAATCTGATTTGACACCCTACCTTGCGGGGCTTGTAACTATTTAATTCTTAACCAAATCAAGCGTTTTTATAGTCTGAATTTAACTACAAATCCTAATCTACATGTAGGAAGAAGATTCAGGTCAAAACAAGTTAAATTGAGTGAGTTATGCATATTTGAACAACAAAGTAGATTACATTTAATTGTTAAAACATAAAAAAAAATTCGATGTGAAATCCTTTCTTACGGAGCTTGTAACTCATTCAAATTTTAATCAAATCAAATGTTTTTATAGTCTAAACTTAAATATAAATCATCATCTACATGTTGGAAAAAGATTTAAGTTAAAAAAAGTTAAATTTAGTGAATTATACAACTTTCAAAATGTAAGTGAGTTATCCAGTCCGGTTCCAACGACGGTTCTTACCGGATCCCTGTTTCAAAAATAGAAGAAATTATCGTATTGGTTCCGACCCGACCGGTTCTATCGGGTTCCGGTTCCGGTACCGGTCCAGTTCTGGTATCGATTTCGGCCGGTTCGCCGGTCCATATGATTCACTAAATGCAACAATCACCTTAAGAGTATTTTCCCAATATTATACACTCCTTTTGTGCATGTAAGGAGACGTGTAGGATTTTGATGTCTGTTAAATTTGGACTTATTGTTTATGTTGTAGAGAAAATAATCCAGCGAACGCATGGAACCACAATTACTCACTATCTCGGTACTGATCGGAGGACAGTTGAAAAGCAATACAAATGGCCACCTGGAAACTCTTTCGAGAAGTAGAATTACCTCAGCAAAAGCCTCAGGACGACGGCGTTCTTTTCCCGGCGGTGTTATCCCCAAACCATACCACCGATTCTACTGCAGTACAACTCCCTGATTTCAAAGAGGCAATCAGAGCTCATAAGCCATGGCTGGAGTCTCTTCTCCAGAACACCGGTGCTATTCTCTTCCGTGGCTTCCCTGTCGCCTCACCTTCTGACTTCAACGACGTCGTCGAAGCTTTCGGCTACCCTGAAGCGTTCTATGTCGGCGGTCGAGCCTCTCGAATCAAGGTCATTGGCCGGGTTTACACCGCAAATGAAGCTCCTCCCGAGAAGGGAATTCCTTTCCATCATGAGATGGCTTATGTAAATTCCTTGATTCTGTTAAATATCTAATTTCATTCTCGATTTCGTTTTTCGTTTTTACAATCAGATCAGTAGCTAGTTCATAAATCTTAGTTACAGACATTAGGGTAAATGTTAATTCAGTATCAAAGCTTCCATCTTGTGGTTTGGTTGATTTTCAGTAATTTAAGCTCAGATCTACATGAATCCGTGCTCTACTAAAGGGGAAATCAGTATAGATTCTCATTCACTTGGATTTTTACAATTTGTGGATGTATAACAGGTTCGTGATTTCCCCACCAAGTTGTTTTTCTTTTGCGACGAAGAACCAGGAAAAGGGGGAGAAACTCCAATAGTTTTGAGTCATATCATATACAAAAAGATGAAAGAGAAGCACCCAGAGTTCGTTTCACAGCTAGAGGATCATGGATTGACCTATACAAAAGTATCAAACGAAGAAGACGATCCATCATCCTTCACCGGAAGTGGTTGGAAGTCAACATACAAAACCGACGACAAGAATGTCGCTGAGGAAAGGTATCATCATGTCTCTAGTAATTAACAGGTTCTTGATTTCACCGACTTTATCTAAACTTAATCCTCCATTGACAGGGCAGCTAAGCTTGGGGCAAAGATTGAATGGATTGGGAATTCGGCAAAAATCATAACAGGTCCAATAGCAGCCGTTAGGGTTGATGAAGAAAATCGCCGGAAAACATGGTTCAACAGTATTGCAGTTAGTTACAGTGGCCCTGCGAACAAAAGGTTTTGTGATGTTGATACGATTGTGGAGCTCGGTAATGGCGACCCTGTGCCTGATGATGCTGTGGAAGATTACTTGAAGATCCTGGAAGAAGAGTGTGTTGCGATTCCTTGGAAGAAAGGCGATGTGCTTCTGGTTAATAACTTGATGGTTCTTCATGGCCGGCGACCACTACTGAAGCCGCCACGTCGCATACTAGCTTCCCTTTGCAAGTGATCGGGTTCTTTATTTTGAAGAAGCCGCGTTTAATTGCAGGTAACTAGTGCTTTTACCAAAATGTGAACTAGAATAAGATGTGTATTCTATACTTTAGAATAATGGGTGATAAATAAATGGAAATGCCAAGCCAAAGAACATCAGCATTTCTCTATCCATGTTTTTTAATATGCAATAAGATTGATTGATTTATTTATTTTTATTATTTTACATTTCATTTTGGGTTTATGTGTTTTGCATCAGTGAAAAGGTAACTATGTTTCAAAATCATTAGAAAAATAAAATTCAAGTTTGGTGTATCCAAAAAACACCATCCAAATAAAGTATTTATGCAAAAACACCAATGAAATACATTGTTTGTTCAAATTTAATATTATGGTAACTGGCAATTACTAGTAAAAAATAATTAGAGAAAAAAAAAGAGAAAATAACTCAAGAGGGTAACTATTAGAGAAAAAAAAAAGAGAAAATAACTCAAAAGGGTAACCATGCTTCAAAATCGTTCAAAAAACACCATAGAAGCTTGGTATGTTCAAAAAACATCATCCAAGGAAGATCTTTATACAAAAAACACCAACAAACTATAGATTATTTTTCAAAGGTTACCCTTTAGCAACTAGCTCTTGTAGGTTAAAGCAAGATGTTACGGCGAACTTCAAGCACATGTTTAACTCTCTCACCTAAAGGTCTTAGTCCAATAAGCATTCGTGAATTCGTTCTGCATAAGATAAACAAGTGCTAGGTCAGACAGTCATATCGAGGGTTGGACCTCGGCATAACTCTCTGATGCTTAAATTAGATTATGGTTCTTATTGTTACCTTAATGTTATGTATGTTATCTCTTTTTTGCCTTACCTTACTCTGCCTCGAATATCATGTCTTTAGGGTATATATAGGTAGCTTGTTGTTAGAAGAGTTTATAGTTTTGACCGGTTCTTCATTTATTATCCGGTCTACAGACACACACGTCTCTTGTCATTTCCTTGTTGTTTTATTGTTTCGTACCATTTCTTTTGCATGTTTCCTGGGATATGGTTCCAATACTTGTGTAAGATGTATTCAAATTTATATTCGTTCGTAACAAGTCGTGGTGTCTGTAACGCCGATCTTGTAAGTATCAGGTCGGTAATGGATTTCCTCAGACTACCGGC